TCTCTCTCTCTCTGACACACACACACTTTGTTTACCTCAGGTTCAGCAGTTTATTGGTACACGACCAATAAAAAATCAGCTGTATTTTTTAGCCTGGTATCTTGATCTGATTATGGCCGGCCACACCAAAACTTTGGTGGGTGTGGAAACTGGTCGGGTGTGGGGAGAGGGGTGGGAGGGGAAGAGTGGTGGGGGAGAGGGAAGAGGGGTGGGGAGGGGAGAGGGGGGGAGGGGAAGAGGGAGGGGAAGAGGGTGGGGAGAGGGAAGAGGGTGGGGAGAGGGAAGAGGGGTGGGGGGAGGGAAGAGGGTGGGGGAGAGGGAAGAGGGGTGGGGAGAGGGAAGAGGGGTGGGGGAGAGGGAGAGGGGGGAGGGGTGGGGGAGGGGAAGGGTGGGGGAGAGGGAAGAGGGGTGGGGAGGGGAGGGGTGGGGAGAGGGAAGAGGGTGGTGGGGAGAGGGAGAGGGGTGGGGAGAGGGAAGAGGGGTGGTGGGGAGAGGGAAGAGGGGTGGGGAGAGGGGAAGAGGAGGGGAAGAGGGGGGGAGAGGGGGGGGAGAGGGAAGAGGGTGGGGAGAGGGAAGGGGTGGGGGAGGGGAAGAGGGAGAGGGAAGAGTGGGGGAGGAGAGGGGGGAGAGGAAGAGGGGTGGGGGAGAGGGAAGAGGGGGGGGAGAGGGAAGAGGGTGGGGGAGAGGGAAGAGGGTGGGGGAGAGGGAAGAGTGGTGGGGGAGAGGGAAGAGGGGTGGGGAGAGGGAAGAGGGGTGGGGGGAGAGGGAAGAGGGTGGGGAGAGGGAAGAGGGGTGGGGAGAGGGAAGAGGGGTGGGGAGAGGGGAAGAGTGGTGGAGAGGGAAGAGGGTGGGGGAGAGGAAGGAGGGGTGGGGGAGAGGGAAGAGGGGTGGGGGGAGAGGGAAGAGGGGTGGGGGAGAGGGAGAGGGGTGGGGAGAGGGGAGAGGGGTGGGGGGGGAGAGGGGGGAGAGGGAGAGGGTGGGGGAGAGGAGAAAGGGGTGGGATGGAGGATAGGGGATAAGGGTGGGGAAGTAGGGAGATGAGAGGAAAGTGAGGGAGGAGGAGGGAGGGAGGAGGGGAAGGAGGGATGAGAGGGAAGTGAGGGAGGAGGGAGGGGAAGGAAGATGGGAGAAAGGAAGGAGTGGGAGAGATGAAGGGGGGAGTGAGAAGGGAGGTAGAAGGGGTAAGGAGGAGGGAGAGTGAGAAGGGAGGTAGAAGGGGTAAGGAGGAGGGAGAGTGAGAAGGGAGGTAGAAGGGGTAAGGAGGAGGGAGAGTGAGAAGGGAGGTAGAAGGGGTAGAGAGAAGGGGGAAAGGAAGGAGAGGGAGAGGGAGAAGTAGGGAAACGAGTGGGTGAGGGAGGAGAGGGAGGGAGGAGACAGGGGAAGGAAGTAGAGGAGGATGAGTGGGTGGAGAGTAAGGAACGTTAAGCAGATGAGTGGCTGGATATGTGACAAAATTATTAATAATCAAACAACATCCGGGCGAATAAAAACTCTGCCCACGAACCGTTACCATGACAGGGTATACATGGACCTAGAGACGGTGTTACTGTAAGTTATTGAAGTCACCCCTGCAGACTGTCTCAGGGCAAAGTTTTCTTTAACACCAGAAAACCTGTGTCATCATTCCAACAGACATACAGACGTTCTTTAACTGGAGATAAGTACAGTAGTGTATACATATGCGTGTAGTGGGGTAAAGACAGTCAGTTATAATTATATACACATATAACATAATGGTTGCCCCTCGTGTTCCAGGATGGCCGGCCCAAGGGCCACCTAGGGGTGAATTTGTTTAAGGTGTAGAAGCTGTCGCCTACACAACCACACCCTGAGTTAACGAGCTGCATGACCCAGTATCAAGGAATAGTCCCAGAAGACCGGACAACTCGCCAACTGCACTGGCTAACCATTACCCAGGAACACGATCCGCATGTCGATTAACATCCAGGTTCCCAATTACTGCTGGGTAGACAGAGGCAAATGGCGTAAAGAAACTTGCCCATAGTTTCACCCTGCCCGGGGATCGAACCCGGGTCTGCTCGCTTGCGACGCGAGCATGCTGACCATTACACCACATACATGTACGAAAACATTTATATTACACGCCCACAGGCGTCCATTTTACCCCACAAAATCTCCTCTTCCTGTCCCAACTACTACTACCAATAATAATAATAATAATAATAATAATAATAATAATAATAATAATAATAATAATAATAATAATAATAATAATAATAATAATACTGTCCCAGGGCCGTCCCTAGGAGGGTGCGGGACCCCAGAAAATATATATATGGAGTCAGATTATGCGGTCAGAGGAACCCACCCCCACCTACCCCCATGGGACTGTCGCTATGGATGGTAAGGTCACGGTTACGATGGTGGCGTAAGCCGTCAGGTCGGATTAACCAGTCAACAGGTAATGTGTCCGAGGTCTCTGGGCCCCGGGCGGTCGGCCCTGTATGCCCCCCCCCCCTAAAGGACGGGCCTGATCAGTCCTCCCCGAACCAACACATCTTCCGTCACATCGTCTTCAAGAGATCCAAGAACTGACTCTTACCTGGACCATCCACACACCTGTAATTACCTGACTGTACGGTTATCAAAGAAACCCTCAATACAGGTAATTAACGTGAGGTGCTACTCCTGACTCAAGGGAAGTCGTAGTCAGGGCTGCAAACCGAACGGTCCCCTCTTGTATCGTGATGGTAAATAAAGTGTCGTGAAGTCACTAAAAAACCTGTATCGTGCATATATTCTCTCAAATATTACACCAAGAACTGCTATTCGTACAATCCAGCGAAGCTTCGAGCTACCACATTGCACCACTGAACGATGGGGGGGGGGGGGGGGGGGGGGGCGTTCGGTTTGAAGCCAAGGCAACGACTTCCATCGAGTCAGGAGTAGGGGAGAGTGTGCATCGAAACCATGGCGCGTTAGTGTACCTCAGGTGAGAAGAAAAAAACGATGCTTATTTCTCAACGTATTAATAACGGAAGGTAATTTGCTCTCGTAAGGTAGCATGACTAGAGTGTGTTTGGCTGAGTGTGGTGTGATTGTAGTGTTGTGAGTGTGGTGTGGTGGTATGGTAAGCGTAGTAATGGTTTGGTGAGTGTGGTGTGGTAGTGGTGTGTGGGGACGGCAGTGAGTGTAGAGGTATGGTGGTGAGGGTGGTAGTGGTGGTGCAGTGAGGGTGGTGCGGTGAGTGTGGTGGTGACTACTGAGTGTGGTAGTGAGTTTGGTGGTGAGTGTGGTAGTAGTGGCAATAGGTGTGGTTGATGTCTCCCCAGATCACAATACACCATTATAAATCCCAGGGCCTCACACTTGAAATAATAACAATCCCTCAATCCCAGGGCCTCACATTTGAAATACTAACAATCCCTGGACCTTACACTTGAAGTACAATAATCCCTCAATCAAGTCATCCTCAGCCGTGTAACTCAGTCTTGCCACCGGCGGTATAAGCGAGGGAGCCGGTACAGGGAAACTTCACTACAGCTGTAACACCGACTGTAATATGGCCATTGTCTGCTGCAACACACGCTCACGGCTGTTGTTACTACCTCACTAAAATGGGTCCTGAGTTGGTGGGTATGTGTGGTGGTGGGGTTTGTGTGGTGGTGGGGTTTGTGTGGTGGTGGGGTTTGTGTGGGGTGGGTTTGGTGTGGTGGTGGGGTTTGTGTGGTAGTGGGTTTAGGTGGTAGTGGGTTGGTGGTTTTGTGGGATTGCTTTTGTGTGGTGGTGGATTTGTGTGTGTGTGTGTGTGTGTGTGTGTGTGTGTGTGCTCGTAGTTGTGTGTGTTGGCGAATGTATGTGCGTGTGTGTGTGTGTATATGTATATGTATCAACCCACCACCACCTCGCTACTCTGAATCTCCTCAACTAATATCCGAGTGCCTCTATAGTGTCATCGTCATTGTAGGTGATTGACTAAAGCACCAACATCTTTAAGGCACTGGTATAGAGAAGGGTTGGGTGATATGACATGTCTTAAGACGTTATATTCTCGAGTGTGTATCATCTCTGTATGTAATGTCACTATGTATATTTGTATGTATCGTCACTATGTATTTTATCTTTATATGTACCGTCACTGTGTATCCCTGTATGTATCGTCCCTATAATCGTATCTCTATGTATCGTCTGTATATGTATGATCTCTGCATGGCCGGACAGGTGAGAGGGAGTATGCCAGACCTGTAGGTGAGTGTTAATTACCTGAGTTTACCTGTTGCAACAAAATTCCTCTCGTGGGTATCACCTGGTTGACGAGGACGTGTTCAAGGTGTACACAGATGCTGCACAGCCTAGGGTTCCTGTGCAGTTAACAGCAATGTACAGTAGTTGAACAGAATCATTAACAACTTCCTGTACAGTTAACAGCAATATACAGCAGTTGAACCGCATCACTAACAACTCCCTGTACAGTTTACAGCAATGTACAGCAGTTGAACCGCATCATTAACAACTCCCTGTACAGTTAACAGCAATGTACAGCAGCAGACAATTACCAAGACGAGACAAATCACTGATGAACCGGTTACCACCACAACAACACGACAACACAGCTTTAAAGGCAATGGCTGGTCTGGTCTCTCACCCAAACGTCAAAATTGTGGGTGAGTCTTTATTAATTCACCCTGAGTGCCGCGGTGCCGGTCACTGGGAGCTACGGGTGCCACGGATATCTCAGAGCTGGGTGCCAATCCACAAAGATGGAAACTCAATCCCTACAATTTTCTACACAGTATTTGCCTATTTCTACAGTATATTTATTTTTATATGTACAGTATATGTAGTCCTCTATGTATATGTATTTATACAGTATATGTAAAACTGTACTAAATGTATACATATTTCTTTATGTATACTGAACATGTGAGTTAATATATCTAATTTCTATGTATGTACAGTACCTATCAATCTATGTAGGAAATGTTGTTACAAAGACAATATTGTTACAGAGTTGTTACGAGACATCCATGTTATTACAGGGTGACGGGTGTACCTCTGCCAGCCTCGGGGCGGAGGTGACAGTAAAGCGTCACCGTTACCTGTGTTGGTGAGTACAACCACCACCACATAGTGTACAGTAATAATTAGTTATGTACTGTACAATACTTACTTGTGTACTGTACAATACTTCCTTGTGTACTGTACAATACTTACTTGTGTACTGTACAATACTTACTTGTGTACTGTACAATACTTACTTGTGTACTGTACAATACTTACTTGTGTGTACTGTACAATACTTACTTATGTGTACTGTACAATACTTACTTGTGTGTACTGTACAATACTTACTTGTGTACTGTACAATACTTACTTGTGTACTGTACAATACTTACTTGTATATTGTACAATACTTACTTATGTGTACTGTACAATACTTACTTATGTGTACTGTACAATATTTACTTATGTGTACTGTACAATACTTACTTATGTGTACTGTACAATACTTATATGTACTGTACAATATTCACTTATGTGTACTGTACAATACTTACTTGTGTACTGTACAATACTTACTTGTATATTGTACAATATTCACTTATGTGTACTGTACAATACTTACTTATGTGTACTGTACAATACTTACTTATGTGTACTGTACAATATTTACTTATGTGTACTGTACAATACTTACTTATGTGTACTGTACAATACTTATGTGTACTGTACAATATTCACTTATGTGTACTGTACAATACTTACTTATGTGTACTGTACAATACTTACTTATGTGTACTGTACAATACTTACTTATGTGTACTGTACAATACTTACTTATGTGTACTGTACAATACTTACTTATGTGTACTGTACAATATTTACTTATGTGTACTGTACAATACTTACTTATGTGTACTGTACAATACTTACTTATGTGTACTGTACAATACTTACTTATGTGTACTGTACAATACTTACTTATGTGTACTATACAATACTTACTTATGTGTACTGTACAATACTTACTTATGTGTACTGTACAATATTTCTCATGTATATATATATATCGTGGGATGTTGTTGTTGTTCACATGTATGTCTCGGAGGGAGTGGGGGAGGGAGAGGTTGCTTCCATATTAATATTCCGAAAAAATTGAAAAATCCGCTGAATTTTTGGACGAGGGAAGGTGTTTTTTTTTTTTCAAATATTTTTCACCAAGGACTTTATTTGAGCCTGGGAGTTTTTCATCTAGGAATTTTTATGTTATAAGAGTACAACAACAACAACAACAACGACAGCAAACAACAACGACGACAACAACAACAACAACGAAAACAAACAACAATAAAAGTAACAATAAAGGTAAAGACTCAACACCAATAAAACAAAAATAAAATTAACAACAAAATTAACACAACAAAATTAAAAACAACAACAAAACAAGGACAACAACACAGGTCATTTTTTACTCATTAAATAATTACCACCGATAAATAATACGGATCACCTGAAGATTATACCCCAGCTTATTTCACCTGAAGATTATACCCCAGCTTATTTCACCTGAAGATTATACCCCAGCTTATTTCACCTGAAGATTATACCCCAGCTTATTTCACCTGAAGATTATACCCCAGCTTATTTCACCTGAAGATTAAACACCCTAATGATTCAAAGTGGGTGGTTAGGTTGCCATTTAGATCTTAGGTTAGTAGTTTAGATCAATTAGATCAAGGTTTTGGTTTAGTTAGATGAACATTAGGTTAGATTTTGTTTGCGTTGTTATATAAGTTAGGACAGACAAACGGCTGCCGTGACCGACCAGTACAGTACACACCCACCACCAGTGTCTCAGCTCGGAACATAACCTAGTGCTTCAGTAATAATGACCTTTCACTTATCACCCACCACTTGCTGGGTTGACAGTCGTGGTTGATTGTAACCCGGATATCATGTTCCTTTAAAACGTTTCTTTAGATGTTGCTATAAAGTGGAATTACTGACCAACAATGTCTTCTATCTTTACTAAATCATTCGGTCATATTCACCAGCGTAAAGGATAAGTAGCCACACAAAGCCTCACATTAACATTACCATAACCTAGAAATATTGAGGCATCACAGTTAAGATAATCTCACCCACAGTTTTACCTTCTAATCCAGTTTTCCTGTCTATTAATTTTTCAACACAATTTTAGATTTTTTAGATTGCCCGAGGAGCTGGTTTATTGGGCACCCCCTTACATCCTGTGCGGTGAAGCGCAGAACGTTTACAGCGCCCATCTGGGACGCATATAATCATGTTTGCCTTTATGACTCATGCATTATATAAAAGACTGAAGGGTCATAGGTTTTGTCAGCAAGTTACATAAAGTGACAGAATGATGAGTGTGGGGGAAAGTTCCTGGTACAATTCATCTGTTTATGGCAGCGTGGCAGGTCCCTATAATGTCGCCAGGCCTGTCACTAGGAGGAGGGATATCTGGTAACGGCTGACCTGTAGGAGGAGGTCTTAGGGCAAGTGAGGATGAGTGATGTGATGGACACGACACAAAGGTTGACCCCCAGACCCCCGTCCCCTACCCTCCCTGTGGCCATACTGCTAAACAACAAAAAGTAAATTATAAGTACCAACAGTCTAGCCCAACATCACTGTGTAGTAAGATATTTTGGCATTAGGTCTGAAAACCCAATCATCATTCCGTTTTCTCAATGGTTGACTAGATAACCAAATAAATAGTACATGTAAAGTCAATATACACCGCTACCACCCATCCCCATCCCATGAACAATATACAACCCCCCTATAACATACCATGAACAAAATATGAGTATACAAATATATCAAAACACAAGGTCAATATCGTGCCCAATTTCACCTTCCTTACTCACCAAAAAGCGCCAGAGATATCACCCGGACACCCAGCCAAAATCTATGAAAGCACACAGAATAACCGCTGAGTACCTACTTGAACTGTAACCGGGGTACGGGCTTTGTATGGTACTTGGAGGAGGAGGAGGAGTAGGGGAGGGGTAAGAGGAAGGAGAAGGAAGGGAGAGTAGGGAGAGAGAGGTGGGAAAGGGAGAGGGAAATATGAAGAAGAACATGGTATAAACTTTCCTCCCCTATCCACCAGCCTCTGCATTATCCCCACAGAGCATCACAAACACACAACACCGGCTCCACCATCACTAAGTCATCGCCTCATGTCTACCCCCAGATGAATACAAAACTTTAGAACTTATTTTCCCCCAGGCTGCTGCACGACTCTTCCCCTCTGGCGCCACACTATTGATGCGTATAAATATTCAAACAGTAGAGTTGTCATAAAAGAATACATCGATTTACTTATGTATAGAGACAATGCAGGTATACAGTACATTATACATACACAGTGCAGGTATATAAACAATGTATATACAAAGACAGTGAAGGTATACAAACAATATAAACAGACACTTCAAGAAAGTATAGTCATTAAAGTCAATCATTTGTATTTCCAGTATACTGTAGGGCCTCATCCTCCACCACGAACCTCTCACAAGACACCCCAGATCTCTCTCGTCAGCCCTGCAGGAAGCCTCGACTCCCTAACCGTGAACCAATATCATTCCAATTCTGTCTCAACCGGTTCCTCTCACTCTTTCCTCTACTGTAAAAGCTTGTTCCTTCTCCTTTATGCAAGTGCTGGAACTCTCTCTCTCCCGCAATGTACAAAACCCCCACTCTGTCTTCCTTCACCCTCTTTATCTCTCCTGTCTTTCATTCTCCTCTCTTTTTCACCCTCCTCCTGCAAGAGCTGTCGCCTCTCAGACATAATTCAGTCGTCACATCATAGCCAACTCCCCCACCCGACACCACTCCTTCCTCTCACGCCAACCCTCCTCACCTGTCCTGTTCTCTCTCACAACAACCACCACCTAATCAACGCCTCCTCCACCTGAAGCTGTCCAGGTTAACCCCACAGGTGGATGGTGGCGCGTGACCTGATGACTATCCCATACACCTGAGGGTTGGTTAATGAGATTAGCTGCCAACAGGTGTGTCCCCCCACCCTGTGGTAACTGTGTGTTGATGTAGTAAGACGAATAAACTGACTGAAATAAATACTGACATCAATATTACACGACCTAAAACTGACCTACACAGACCCACACTGACATACACTGCCACACTAACCTACACTGCCCTACACAGACCTACAATGACCTAAACAAACCTACACTAACCTACACTGACATACACTGCCATACACTAACCTACACTGACATACACTGCCATACACTAACCTACACTGCCCTACAAAGACCTACAATGACCTAAACAAACCTACACTGACATACACTGCCATACACTAACCTACACAGACCCAACACTGACCTAAACAAACCCACACTGACATACACTGACATACACTAACCTACACAGACGCCACTGACCTAAACAAACCTACACTAACCTACACTAACCTAGACAGACCTACACTGACCTAAACAAACCTACACAGACCTGGTTTACGTGCTTGTCGTATATGTCATTCTCTTCACTAGCTTAAGTCTATATGTTCACTATCATTCACTATGAGTTAACCATCACTATCAATACTTGTTACTATATCAGTCACCATCACCTAGTCATAACTGTTAATGGTGTTCACTATCAACATGGTGTAAGCGTCACCATCGTTCATAACTATGGTTTCATGAAGCATCATCGCCATTATCTTTCATTAACACCATCACCACCATAATCACCATTACCATCATCATCACCACCACCATAACCCACATCAATACCAACATTACCACTAACACCACTACCATCATCATCACCAACGCCACCATCATCATCACCATCACCACACTCGCCACTATATAACAATACCACCAACATCCAATATATTTTTATTACCAAACGATACATTATAAAAATTAACACAAAGTTCACACAGCAACCCCCACACACACACACACCACACACACACACACGCAACACCCCCTACAAACACACACACACGCAACACTTCCCTACAAACACACGCAACACTACCCCTACAAACACACACGCAAAACCCCCACACACACGCAACACCTCCCCACAAAG